CTAGCATGTAATTAAAATATTAGGACATTGATGCAGTCTCTTTCTAAATTATACCAGGAAAATCTCCAAAAGTAAAATAGATAATGTAAGAATGCTATAAAAAGGGACGTTCTTCTTGGAAGAAGGAAACCAGAATAAATGTGAAATGACTCAGAAGAAAAAGCTTAGATCTGATGACTACATTAATTTCCACCTTTGGACTCTTTAGAAGCTGTGTGAGGAGGACATGCACGAATTTGTCCCTCTAATCTACGTGACCATGTTTCTGATAAAAGTCCTAGACTTTATATAAAATCAACAAGCTGGAGCACTGTAATATAGATACAAGATGCAGATCATTGAGAAGATAGTCAGGGTCCAAGTAATGATAGAAACCACACCAATGATTGAAACAAAGTTTAAAATAGAACATATAATATAGGGGGCCTCCCTGGTGGTGCAATGGGTTAAGCACTGCACTATGAAGCCGTCCACAGCCTCTGCAGCACAAGTTCAATTCTCGGCTGGCCAGGGAGCCAACCCACATGGAGCAGCAGAACTCTCCTGTCTCGCCCACTGCTCCCCTCAGCAGTATATTTCAGTCAGTCTGTCTGTTCTGTTTCCCACCCTGTCTCTGATGAATCCTTTCACCCCCCACATCTCTGTCCTGTACCCTAGCTTTTGTGTGCATAAATAAATCTTTAAAAAAAAGAGAAAATATAATATAAAAATAATTAGGGATAAAATTAGTAAGTAGGAAACAGGTGGGAAGCAAAATAAACATACCAAAAACCAACCAACCAACTTGTATGTTATCAAGAAACAGCTATTATATATATTAGGAATATATAAAGGAGAGTACCCAGGGGACTGAGACCCAGCCCTCTTGGCATTCAGCTAATGCTCTGAGAACAACTGTTATTGCTGGGATAAATAATTATTTCTGGGTGGCAGTGGCAAGAATAAGTAGCAGTCAGGAAGTAGACAGGAAAAGACTAAGTCCTGTCTCACTAAGCCTCTGTTGCCCACTGTTGACTGAGCCCAATAGGAATTTCGATGTTAGCAAAAACAATGCAGAGACCAGCCCAGCATTAAGAAATGGTGTTTACTACAAATCAAAAACAAATAGACAGTTTTAAATCAGAGACATCCTGCAGGGGAAGAGGAGGGAAAGAGATCAGAGGGAGGGAGAGAAGAGCACAGGGGACTCTGGTGATGGTACACGGATGCATTGGTGAAGGAAATTCTGTGGGAACTGCACCTCAGGGGGAGATGGGAAAAAAATCAAGCATTGTTTAAAAATGAACAATTTTTACATATATATCAAATATATATATAAAATATATAAAAAACAAATTAAAAACAGCAAAAAAATAAGTGGTGTTTAGAAGTGTGGGTTTGGAAATCTAGAGTGATAGGTTAATCGCTAGCATGACTGATTACCTTGATAACTGGTGGGAGGATAGACAAGGTGTGGAATAAATGCATGCTAAAAAACTTTAGAGCCTTTGAACATGACTAAGTGAACATTTCTCTCTCTCTGCCCACTAGTTGCCCAATGGCTGCCCTAATTAATCCATATCCAGCAGTATGTCATTGTTCTTGATAGCCAAGACTGGGTCTCAGGGTTGGATGTAGATTCATTATACTGTCCTAACAGGTAGTGTACTGAAATATTTGGTCTGACACAAATTGTCACTTGCTTCTTATGGTTCTTGGACAAAGAAATAATCCTGACAATTCAATAACACCAGGGAAGTCAGTTTAAGAACCAAGCCAATCCAGAGTTACTGGTTTAGTGTTCTACAACTTCTGAATCAACCAAAAAAGGAGAGCAAAAGCTAATAAACTAATTACTCACAAGTGTATTCATGGCCTATGGAAATTTTAATATTATTAAAGATTGTCATCCTTTTGCAGGGATGGGGAAGACACAGACACATTTAAGTTCTCAAATAAAAGTTCAAAACTCTGCCCTAACAAACCAGTTAATAGATGCCTAATTCATCAACAAGAAAGAAAGGCTCTTAAACATCATCCCAATAGAATCACTTAAAAAAAAATTGCTGTTCTTTTCCACCTTTGTGTATTTCTTGTTATTTGAGGGTAAGAAGTCACCCAGCTAAGAATCAAATCAATACCTGCCTTACAGGGTAACTTGTCCTTGAATACTGCTAATGCTTCTACAAGCCTCCTCTAAGCTAGTTAATACTGACAGGTAATCAGGAAAATTAATACAAGTTCACTATGATTGATATATGAAGAAAGCATAATAAACCTAAAGAAATCAGATAAATGATAGCCCAGTAGTGCTTAGTGGAAATGTACAGTTCAAGTCATTTAAAAGGTTTTTACTATCTGATCACAACTGTCTTTCCAGTTTCATCATATATCATGCTTCCAAGAACTCTATAAGCCAGCGCATCTCGTCTGTGTAAAGATTAAAATATAAGGTCTCCCTGGTGGCACAAGGGGTTAAGCACCACACTATGAAGCAATCCGCAGCCTCTGCAGCACAAGTTTGATCCCCGGATGGTCAGGGAGCAACCCACATGGCCCAGCAGACCTCTCCTGCCTCACCTGCTGCTCCCCTCAGCAGTGTATTTTAGTCAATCTGCCTGTTCTGTTCCCCATTCTGTCTCCAGTGAATCCTCTCACTCCCCTAACCCTGCATCTCTGGCCCATACCCCCAGCTCTGGTATGCATAAATAAATAAATCTTTTTTAAAAAGTTTAAAATATAAAATGTTCTTGCTATTTTCTATGACCCAAAGGTCTCTCTGTCCTCCCTCCCTCTTGGCTGGTGAAATCCTTTTGCATCTTCTCAGTATTCCCATTGAAATAACTCCTTTATGAAATTTGACATTGTTTTCTTCCATTTCCTCCTTTGTTCCTTTTTTTTATTTTATTTCATTTTTTTGAAAAAATTTTTTTTATATTTATTCATTTATTTATATAAGCACTGAGTATAGTCAGAAGCGCAGGAGGGTGAGAGAATTCACCAGAGCCAGAGAGGGGAACAGAATAGGCAGACTGATGAAATACACTGCTGAGGGGAGCAGCAGGGAAGACAGGAGAGGTCTGTCGCACTATGTGGGACCCTCATTGGCGGCTGGGGATCGAACTGGTGCTGCAAAGGCTATGGGCAGCTTCATAGCCCAGTGCTCAACCACTGCGCCACCAGGGGAGGCCCTGTTCCTTTTTTTAGAAATATTTATTTCTGCATACCAGAGCTGGGGTACAGGCCAGAGATGCGGGGGGGGGGAGACGATTCACCAGAGACAGAGTGGGTAACACAACAGGCAGAATGACTGAAATACACTGTGGAGGGGAGCCGCGGGTGAGATCGGAGAGGTATGCTTCGCCACATGGGTTGCTCCCTGTCTGGGGATTGAACTCATGCTGCTGAGGTGCAGTGCTTAACCCCTTGCACCACTAGGGAGGTCCTCCTTTGTTCCTTAATAACATGTACAAGACCTGTATTTCTTTGTAATCAGAGTTATTATAGCTCTCAACTTAAGGTGCCCTTGATCGCAAGATACCCCATTACTTTATATACCACTACGAAAGAGAAATGTCAGCCTTAAACTACAATGCCATTAATTTTATGAAGCATCTTGACTTCAGAAGTGAGAGTACAGATAAAAGGTGTATTTTAAAATTAAGGAAATGTGATAGTTGTATATAGGATTGACTCTCTTGCTCAGTTGTAAGTTGTGAGCTCCATGACAGCAGTATTCATAACTCAATTTTGTGTCTCTGATGTTAAATATGTTGTTTGACACATAGCGGGCTCTTCAGTAAATACTTGCTAAAGTATACCTCCTAAATATTAAGATATGAAATTGTGTCCTCGGCAACATTTACTGATATTGTTTAGGGTACAAATAAGTGATATACAGTCACAAGATAAAACTTTACTCTTGTAAGCCTTCATGAATTTCATTCAAATTTAGTTATATTAGCAGGATATTTAAGCATTTATAGATGTACTTTAATTTTAATAGACATGAGAAGGTCCATGCTCCTAAATCATCCATTTGTCACCTGATAATCCCACCTCTAGCTAATCCTTTTCTGTAACAAAATGCACAGTTTCCTGAAAGGATATTCTCATTAAGCTTTATCAGACAGAATCATTATGTGAATTAGTTCACTAGGTCCCTCTTCAATGTCAACAAATAATAACCACCTTAAATATAGTTCTGATAAAATAGAATCCATCAAGTTTATTTTTAGCATTGCCCAAGGAAGGCAGATTTGGAAAAGAGCTTTCAGAGCAGGACTGCAAGAGAACACTAGGTCACTTGTTCAAGAGTCAAAAGTAGAAACTGAAGAGAGAGCAGCAAGGTAAAAGACATGACCTTGGTAAGAGCCTCTGCTCTGCTGCAATGCTCCTTGTCAGGGAAATAATGCCTTTATCTCTGCTCTATTCTCTAGGCCTTTTTTTTTTTAAATTTCTGTAATTATGCCTACTCTGCATGCCTGCTCTTCATTATGCTTATTTAGAGTGTTTTAATGCATATTTGCTTGGTGAGGTCATTTAGATCTCAGTGCCTCTCTCTTACTTTCTTCTCTGTACTGCCTTTCCTCAGACTTCTGTTTTCTTTTCCTTCATATTAGTTTCATAGAACAAGAACTTGACTTGGGAATGAGTGCTTGTCAATATCATAATACACACATCTTTGTAATTTTTCAGCCTTTTTCTCATCCTGAGACCTGTGGCTGGTTTTCCCTGGATCACTGGCTACTCTAGGGTTGTGGGGAGCAACTTCTCAAGTCAAACTACAGCCTCTGAAAAAAATGTGTTTCCTTTTGTTTCCTTTTTTTTCCTTTAGTCCTTACATATGTAACTGAGTAATTAGACAAGCTATGCTCTTCCATGTCATATAATTGCCTTGAAATATTGTTTCTACACCTGTGCATTTTGTTTCTCCTCTCCATATTGAAAGCATCTAAATAAAAAATACCCTGTTGTTTACATCTGGCAGTCTCATATATCAGCAAAACCTGTTTACTTACTGAAAAGAGTCTGACAGATGTCTCACACGTGGCCAGGGTAGTGCACCTGCAAAGATCAGGAACAATAAGCCTTGCATTATATGACACTTTGAACTTTTTCTGAATGCTTTTACTTATATTTTTCATTTCACCTGTTCTTATTTAGTTGAAACATGTGTCATTTCTAGTGCTTTTTCAGTCATTCACTTTTGTCTTTTCTAGCAGCCATTTCATTTCTGAATAGCAGTCATATAGTTTTTATCACTATAATTTTGCATAATCAAACTAGCAATTTTGAGAAATTTTTTATTATGAACTGTATTTCTTTCAAAACATACTCCATTACCTTACATCTAAAACTTCTATTTAATCTTTGGAAGCTGAATTACTGCCAACATGTCTTTAAGAGTTTTCCCCAATAATTTTACAGTCATAGTTTTCCCAACGTGATCACTGGGTAAATGCTCTCTCACTTCGTTCATTTAATTCTTCTCTTGACAAGGCACCGTCTTCCTTTGGATAATTATTAAGTTTCTTCCTCTGCTGTCTTCCCCAGAGACAGCTGTGTTCACTGCTCTCTACCCCCAATTCTGACATTTCTCTTACAGAATGTTTGGAATCGAAAGTTCTCACTCTAATACAGGGAATCCTCTGAACATTCTTCCCTTTCTTCTTCTTTTCTGTGCCTTTTGTTTTTGCCCTTTCTCAGATGTTACTCAGTCTCTATGGTAGGGAAAATTATAGCATGACCCCCAAGAATTCCACTGACTGATGTATATACCCACTACAGTCTTCTCTCTGGTCTTGGTTGGGATAACTGAGACTGATGGAGAATTGCTGAGAGCTGTGGCAAAAGGGACTTCCTAGTGTAACAGAGTGGTCCCCAGGAAAGGGGGAGGTTCCAGGTTCCCTGCCCCACCCAAATGGAGGGTGGAGCTGAGCAGAGTTGTAAATTTCCTCATTTCCCCTTCCCTTGTAAATAAACCTTTTATTAACCTTTTGTGTGTATCTGCAGTAGAGTATTAATAAGTCTCTTTTAAGCATGTGGGTAAGGACCCACAGCCAGGCAACACGTTTTATGTTGGGGCTGCTCTGTAACACTAGCAGCAATTAAGACCTGATCAAGAGGGAGAAAAGCTGGGTGTACATTAAGCAGTAAATTAAAACTTTAAAAGAAAGAAGCAGCAGCATCTGATGATCTCCAGGTCGCCTTGAAGATGTAAACTACCATGTTGTGGAGAGAACAGTATGGCAGGAACTCTGGAGAAGGGTGACCCACAAACACCTGCCACTAAGAAATCTGGATCTCAGTTATACAGATGCATGGAATTTCAATTGACAACAACCACATGAGCTGGGTAAAGAATCTTGAGTTCCAGATGACAACCAGTCTGACTCCTGCCTTGAATCAGCCTTGCAAGGCCCTAAGCAGAAGCCCAGTTCTGGTGTGCTCAGACAGACCCTGTGAGTGAGGATAGTCTGTTACAGAACAAAAGAAATAATGAAGAAAAGAAGTATGTTCTTTTTCTCCTGCTGCCCATTATTTCTTGCAACTTTAATTCTGACTTGTCACAACTGCAACATTTTGGGGATAAAATGGTTTAAATCCGATCCACATTGACCGCTCTGTTGGACCTCTTTGCATTTCTCTTCTCTGATCCTTACTCTGTCTTTACTCAGTCCAATCCTCTTCCCCTCCAGGAATATTTTTGTGTGTTCATTTGTATCTCATTTGGCTTTTGCATTCTCCAAAGGAATAGGCTTAAACTATTTTTTTTATTCGCTATGTGGCCTGCTTTTCATTAGTAATTGGAGGTGAATTCAAGAGATTCTGCTGTAATGCCATGGTTCTGATGCTCCAATGAAATAGATTCATTAACTTATTCATTTGTTCACTTTTTTTATTCAACAATTAGGAGATCAACCCAAAATGTTTGGTAATTGCCTAGGCACTTCTGTTACAAAGATAAATAAAACACAGATTTTATTTTATTCTGAAGTACTCAAGTTATAGTGGATATAGGGTAGTTGCCAAAATGAAATAAAACATTAGATAGAACTTTAAAATTATCAAGTTTAAGACACTACTATTTGGAATAGTATAAATATACTCACATACAGGACAAGTAGCAAATCAGTTGAAGAGAAAAAATGAAGAGGAATATAAATTCACTGTAGTGTTTCATCCTTGAAAAATATTAATTGGAATTTTGATTTTCATCAAGCAGTCACTGTCAACTTTTAAGTACCTCTTATATGTAGAACAATGTAGCATGAATCCAGGAATGGGTCGTAAGAGGTATGCAGGATGAAGAAACAGTTTTGCCCTCTAAAAGCATACACTCTGTTTTCTGCATAATGACAGCACAGCCTGGCCTTGTAAGTGATTCTGCAGAGTGCCTTACCTAAACCAGATGGACAAATATTGACAAGTGCACAACAGTGGAGGCACAGACCATGGGTGGAGAACTGGCATGGTAGCAATACATAGTGGTGTCATTTTCTGTCAACAAGCACAATTTGACCTGCAGCATCCTGTGTAGGCAGAGGGTGTGAAAATTACTATGGCTCAAGGGTCTGCAGCTAAGCATGAAGTTAGCAGAATGGATGTTAAAAGAATTGGGGTTAAAAAAAAAAACACTGCAACCTGTATAAAAAAGCAAATACATTTCACATGAAGAGTGTGAATTTTCCATAGAAATGAGAAAAGAGAATTCCTAAGAGAACTTATTTTCCTTGTCTATTCATTTCTGCCCTGTAGGAAGATGATAATGGGAAATATTTTTATAACATCGTAGGCTTTAACAACAGCAATGCTATTTTTGAATGGTATATTTTTTTCTAGCATTATAAGCATAATCAACATCTCACTTTCAGAATCTGTGCATCAACTTGAAATCAGTCTGACCATGATATTTCAATGTCTTGAAGTACCAGGTAGGCATCTACAGGCACCAAAGCAAGTTATAGATGGTTATGCGCTGTAGTTACTGTAAACTGGCTCATCTAACAACTGTCTGACCATGTGAAATCACTAGACAAAGAAAAGTTACTTTGTGCAGTAAATGTATCCTAGGAAGCAGTTCTGTTTATTCAGGTAACATTGTATTTTGATATCATATACATTTCAGACGTGCCTCATTGTAATTCATTGTATATATTAAGTTTACCACTGAAGGTCCAAACTTTATCACCTTACAATTGACCCTTTTACCTGAGCTATGGTGCCATCCCCTTTCCCTTCTTCCCTTATAGGGAACACTATTTTGGTATTATCTAAAAATTATTTTTGTTTTATTTAGTTCATTTATTTTGTTTATATACCACATGGGAGTGAAATTATACAGTATTTGTCTTTTTCCCTCTGACTTATATCACTAAGCATAATACCCTCTAGGTCCTTCCATGTTGTTGAAAATGGCAGGATTTCATCCATTTTCTTTTCTTAATAGCTGAATTTATTCCATTGTGGATAGAAACAGCAGCTTCTTTATCCAGTCATCTGTCAGTGGGAACTTAGGTAGTTTTAAACTCCTGGCTATTGTAAATAATGCTGCAATGAACACAGGGGTCCATATATCTCTTTGAATTAGTGTTTTCATATTTTTCAAGGAAATAGCCAGAAATAGAAAATCAAATAATTTTTGTTTAAAACTTCACTCAGTTCTTATTTGATGTTAGAATTGCTAATTCTTTTTTTCCCTTCCAAACTACTAGGTTATCAGCAAAACTTATACATGAACAGTTTTATTTAGGTAATCCTAAAGTCTAAAAATATATTTCAAATATTACTATAATAAAAATCCATGATGACTGTTTTAGAAGTCCCAGTTTACAAATCATTTGATATAAAAATTTATCAGTATGAATTTTTTTTGCAATATCCTGAAATTGGATGTAATTAGGATCTGCCCCCATTAAAAATTAAGATATTGCTGTTAGAGTCTGCACAGGTGTGCATCTTAAAAGTAGATGTGTGTCTGTTCATTCAGTGAAGTTGGTCATTAATTTATGAGAAAACATTAAAAATCTTAACATGGGATCATGGGAGCTGAAAAGCTCCAATCCTGCTAAAATAGTTGCAGCCTAAAAAAAAAAAAAAAAAAAAAATGGTGGAGCAATAAGTGGAGTAGTTTCATAGAGTTAGTGATTGAATTAGGAAGGAACAGTCTTATCAATATTGATTTACAGAGAATCATTTTTTATTGTATATTTCATTTGATTTTGGATTGGAAGAGAACAGATTTCTTTTAGTACCCAATGCATTAAAATATCCTCATATGTGATCCCATATATACACACATATCTCCAGGTATACACATATGGTCAGGTACATATCTGTTTTGTAGCTGGCTGTTCAGTTTTCCCAATACCATTTGTGGAAGAGACTCTCCTTTATCCAGTGTATATTCTTGGTTCCTTTTATATGTATTAACTGTATTAATTATATGTATTAACTGTATTACATTTATAGATGTGTGGATTTATTTCTGGATTCTCAATTCTATTCCATTGGTCTGTATGTTTTTGTTCTATTACCGTACTGTTTTTGATTACTATAGCTTTGTAGAAGATGAAGTCTAAGAGTGTGATACCAAAGCTTTTTCTCTTTTTTTTTTGTCAGGATTGGTTTGGCTATTCAGGGCTATTCAGGGTCTTTTGTGGTTCCATTTGATTTTAGTACATGGATGGGACTGGAGGGGTTAATGATACGTGATATCATTCATAAGGGAAAAGAAAAATACTGGATGGTTTCACTTATACATGGAATATAGATAAACCAAATAAAGGGTCAGATAAACCCAAACCAGTAACCAACCCTAGAAAGCTGACTAGGGGGTAGAAGCTATAAGATGGGGAAAGGGAAAACACATTGGAAGAAGGAAGAATCAATGCACTGTGGTGGAGGACTATGGTTACCTTGGTTTGAGGTGTGGTATAAGGATATTCTTCTGAAGAAAAGTGATTCTATGTCTCTGAATCACATACCATATTAAAACCCAAAGTTAACTAAAAAAATAACATTTTCTAATGACTTTTTTTAAAAAAAAAGTCTATCATTCAGTCATAGCATTCCACAAACCTTTATACTTGACAATCACCACGTAGTCCATAAATTCTTCAAATATTGGTGAGGTTGAATAGTACAAATCTTAATTAAAATGAAAACCCACTGGTTATTCAAAGAAAGCCTTAGCATATATCTGTACTTGTGATACCAAATGATTGATATGTAGAATTAAAAACTGTTATGTGATTACCATCAAATATATATATATATCAAAAGTATGATCATACACCAGTAATAACAGAAAGTTCCAGCAGTTATATAAATGAAGGCTATGATCTTAGAATTACCTTTGAGCACTTGACATATAATAATGAAGCATCAAAATACAGAGAAGATGTAGATTGAACTTTTTCCCTCGAAATGTCCTTCTCTAGCTTAGGCTGAAGCTTAACCCGTAGTGGGCAAAGCAGGACTGAGACTAGGAAATACTATCAAAACTACAATTTGCAAAATGTATTATGCCTTGCAAAAGTAGGTAACTGTACCAAACTA